CCCCCCCCCAAATTAAATTTATTTCCCGTTACAATTTTTTTCTCTTTTATTTTCAACCAACCAATCTTTAATAAAATAATATTACACGTAAATAAAAAACTTTTCCTTCTTTTTCAATCACATTCTCCAAAAAACACTATTCCAAAAATTATAATACCAAATAATGGGGCCAAACGAGTGCTTAATTTATGTATAAAATGGTGATATATAATGCAATCTTATAATTGCAATCTTATAATTCAATCGCATTCTCTGGTCCAACTACTGTTTTAGTTTATGTCATATTTATTAGACTCGACCTGATGGTCGACCCGAGAAAGTCATCGGGTCACCAGGTCAGTGGTTGAATCAGCGATTGAACCAGTGGGTCATTGTTAGATCATAATTTTAATTAAAATATATTTTTGAAAAAAAAAAATTTGCTAAATCTAGATATATATATTTGGCTTGCTTGTCACTTGGAGGTTCACCAGCTTCCTAGCTGGTGAAGGACGAAAATTTTCATGTAAAAACCCAATGTTCGAATCATCCTGTTTGCAAGTTGGAAAAAGGGATTTCACATTGTAATTTGTAAATTGAAATATATATATTTGCTACACATTATAGACTAAAAGACGGCACTATCCAAAATGGTGAAGGACATGACATTCCAAGGAAGAGGCCTAAGTTCGAATTAGCTTCTTTCCAATTTGATAAATAAATAAATAAATAAAAATTACAATTTACTTTGGTGACCAACTGGTTCAAACATTGAATTGGATCTGTTACCTCTTAAACTCATCCGGTTCAAGTGGATTTTGAACGGTTCAACCCGGTTCTTGACCGGTTCCTTTGTTTGTTTGTCTAACTAATAAACTTGGACCGGACCATTATCCAATTCGGTGGTTCTCGGTCCGAACCGGATGGTCCGGTCCAATTTTAATAACTATGGTTTCTGTATTCTTAATCTAATCACTAGGTTGGTCTGATCAACAATTCTTCATATACATTATAATGTATAGCTTTGTGTAGACTCTGTCACATGTCAAACTCCGATTTGACAGTTTTTTTTTTAAATAAAAAATAAAACCAGACTTTCCAGTAATCATATGTTGCCAACTCGAATGATGTGCACAATGATGTATAAAAAGAGTGTACAAGTGGATTTATTTTTGCATCTAGTTTTGTCTCTCTCTTGAGATGCTCAAACTAATGTAGAAAAGCGCAAATGAGAACGTGAAATTCACTAACAATATTCTATTTACTAATGATTCACTCACGGTTACAAGAAAACAGTCATCAAATCTAGTTAATTCTCACAAACTACAGGGTATTAGAAATTGGTGATTCACAGAATATTCGAAAGAATTGGATAGATAATTGAGAATACTCAATAAATATCTCTTTCTTAAGAAACCCTAGTGTTCTTATTTATACGATTCTAGTCAAGAGTAAAAAGTTTTCAAAAACAATTTGTAATGGAATCATTACACAATTACAAACACTACTGCCCTCAGCATTCCTAAATTGATTCAACCATACTATATGTACATCAAGTTTGATATCATGTCAGTTGGCAGATTTTTGTACATTGATTTTAACACTTTTTTCCGGTCAATGGTCAAATTTCCTACACATAGGATATGTCAACAATTGATGTATAAGAAGCATAATTCAAATTGATTTGCCTTCAATTTAGTTTGTCAACCAATGCAGTTATTGTACTTGACCATATAAGAAGTGAGCTAGTTGCAAGGGATCTTATCATCAATAGTAGAGAAAAAGATAAGGGGTGTAGTATTCAAGACACACACAAAAAACTTTGAGTAGCACACTGGATGGACCACAACACCAGGCATCACAAGATCATTCAATAAGGCCACATTATTGCCTGTACCTTTTCTAATCCAATCTACAACCATTCATTCAATCATCAAATGATAAATTCATAGCATTCACGGCAGTTTTAAGTTTGATACTTAAAAGGCATATATGAGTGTTACTTGAGTAATCATACCATAAAGCAGGAGAGAAAGTAGGGTACTAGATACTTAAATCAGAGTCACAAGCCATGATGTCTAATCTGGAGTACAAGGGAAATTATGGCGATAAATTTCCTAAAGCAGAAAAAAAAGTTGGTGGCTTAACAGAAAAATCAAAGACAAGCATTTAACAGTTACACAGTATCAAACAAGCCATGTGCAGGAGTTATATGACGGAGAGGCGTCCATGAATTAGTAATCGCAAATGTAGAAACGAGAGAAAGCAAACGAAGAAGCACTTTAATGTGTAAATGAAACAGTCTACTGAAAAGACGATATGTGTCAATTACTGAACAATAGGAAAGAGAAACTTATTATCTGTAAAGGTTTCCATGGTAATTATTCACAGTAACTATATCAAAACATGGGATCAGTCTTTCTTAGACAACAGAAGATACAGAATGTAAGCTAGATGGGACTACAAGAAATCTAAGTGCATGTTTGATAAGGACGGGAATGGATAGTTTACTGAACGAGATTTTAGCTCTTTTTTGTCATTTTTGTTCAATTATATCCAATCTCCCTACCAAACATGCTGCAATCATTGTGAAGGAAAAGTAGAAGATGCAGAATTTACAGAATGTGTGCTCAGAGTACCCAATCATGCAGTATGGGTAAGATTGACCGCCCGATTCAATCTTTCAAGAATGACACCGGCCTTTCTCTTGGCTCTGGACGTCCCACTTTGAGCAAGCTGAGAGATTGTACGGTAAGTACTTTCCTCGTTCCTTATCTCCTTCCACTTCGTTGGATCACTAAAACATATAGTATGAAGGATTGCTATGCAATTCTCCTTGCTACGATCACAGGCGCTCTCTCTAATTATACACAGCAAGCATGGAACTGCCTCAAGCTCTCCCATTTCCTCGACTGCCTTTTGAATGCTTGAAAGCATGGCAAGAATAGATAACAACTCATCAACAAGTATCCTTCTCACGATCTTTTTCAGTATCACTCTCACAGCACCATCTCTAACAGCTCTCACTTTATTCTCGCGGTTAATGCATAGATTAAAAATAGCAGAAGCAGCATCTTTTATAACTTCTGGATGCCCGTCGTCTAATAGATCAATGAGTGGTTTCAATGCACCAGATTTACCAATGCGCTCCTTATTTGAATCAAGAGCTGACAATGAGAAAAGGGCTGCCGCTCCATTCCCCATTGTTGCTGTTGTTCCTGTTCTTAATGCATCCACAAGAAGAGGAAAAACCATTGGTTCTTCTGCAACTAGCTTTTTATTATCATCGTGGATGGAAATATTCAAAAGTGTTGTGATTATATCTTCTTGGAGGCTTGATAGAATTTCACTTGAAGGCTTTTGAGAAAAGGGGAACAGCAACTGAGGTATGGCATTAGGATATTCACCAAAAAGTGCTCGGAATGATGGCACACTTCTTGTTAATTCCCGCAATTCTTTTGCCGCATCTCTTTGAGCAGACAGGTTTTTGGACATATTCTCCAACAAAGTAATAAAATGGTCCCGATCCGCTTTCGTTAAGCCATCATAATTGGAATGCTGAACACAGTCCGGCAATTTAATTCCATGATTCTTGCACCAGGACGTTATCATTTCTCTAATCAAGTTATTCGGTGTAAGAAAAGTATGAGAGATTACGTGCTGCGTTTTCGGGCACAGCCTATTCCCAGCATTTAAACGAGTCTCAATGAAGGGCCTATCATAAGTCTTCAAAGTTGTAACGAAATATCAGAATACAGACAACAAAACAAAAATCCAATTGAAAGTATTTTAAAAATCTCCAACCCCTTAAATACAATCAATTCTAGTTATGAGGAGGGTACAACTAAATCTTATTAATTTCGCCATATCAATTAAAATGAATATAAACGAAACAACCGAAATCAGAACTCGTCAAGTGAAAAATTCTGCTCATGTTCACCAAAAGAATGAAAGAAATAGTCCTCCACCCCCCCGCCCACCACACCCACCCAAAGATCCATTCAAGAAACAAAGCTATAATTGAGGGTCAAGAATTTGCAACAAAAACGAAAACAGTTATCTTCGCCCGTATTTATCCAAAAAAAATTCATAAACACCCGCCAATAAATTATCATACAATGTTCAACATTTATCCTTTATCTGAAGAAAATTTCAGCGGCCAATTCCCTCACCAAGAACGACACACTCAAACAAATCCAATGCATAATTCAAACCACCTAAGTCACACAAACATCCATAATCCTCAAATACTTTAAGAAAAAAATGATAAACACAAAACTTCGCTCGACTTTAAAAAACTAAATCACGAACCTGTCCAGTGGAAATTATAACAGGATCCCTCATAAGTTCCTTTGAAATTGGGCACTTAAATTCCTCCGGCACCTCCACGGTATCATCAACCTCCAAAGAAATTGGTTTCTTTAATTTCAATTCCTTTAAAGCGCCCAAAATTTGCTGGGTTTTATCGATTGCGTCCACATTAATATCATCTTCATCAACAATTGCCTTCACAATTTTCTGCAATTCATTCTTCAATTCAGTGGCCTTAGCCACCATTCCTGAATCCCCTTCAAAAACACCACTATTCGCCATCACTATCCAAAAAAGACAATCTTATGAAAGAAATATAACAGGGTTTTTCACTTTTTCTTTGTAATTCTTTTTTCCTCATGTCCTGGGAGGCTTCAAATCGTTAGATTTTTTCACGCACCAAGACACGCAGTTAGTGTGCTGTGAGTGAAGTGTGGAATAAGAATAAGCGTGGGAAAGTTGGGAATTATTTGTTGTGTGTAATGTACTCTAATGTATGGGAGTCGTGGGTGGGTGGGTGCGGTGGGTTCACAGCTGACAGCTACGCAGAAGAGACTGCGGCCAGTAGTTCCATCATACAGAGAATTTACTGTGGATACATTTATTCCAACTAATTTTTAATTTGAATTAAGCCACTCAGCCAGATTTGAAAAACGGGAGAATGAAGAGGCAATTGATACGTTAGAAAATGATTGTGTGTTTTTATTTTAATTTTTCAAATTGTTCACTTATATATCGACACGTCTTTCATTTAAATTTGAGCTTGGATTTGGAGCATGATTTAGCTCTATTTACTTTACTTTAATTATTTTTCATAATTATTTTTAATCACATATTCATACAAAAAAGTATTTTACACGTAATTTAAATTTTTTCTTATTTTTTAATCAATACGAGGCAATAATTTAAAACAGTCATTATTTTACTAATTTTTAGTAAACATTTATAGATTAGTAGATGAAGCCTCCGTTTGATTCTTATTATTTGCTCATTAAAATAAAAAATATGATCGTTATTCATCATATCAAGCCACCATATTTGACTTTCTTTCTCTTGTGTAGGACCCATAACGACTATATTTTTCATTCTTATTTTTACATTAATATGTAACAAACGGGGCCTAACTTTAACCTCTGATATTTTAATATTTTTCTATGAATAGACTGCATTTTATAAGCTTAAGCCAATGTTTGGTACGGGCAAAAATTTTTATTAAAATTTAAGTCAAAATAAACAAATAATTTTAACAACATATTTCATTGTATTCATAACTTTTCAATCACATAATCCATCAACTCATATTGAAATCTGTTAAAAATCCAATTTTAATATCCATCAAATAAGGGCTGATATCTAATATTTCATTCATAGCATTAAAATTAATATTAGTAGAATCATGCTCTATTGAGAAATACTTGAGTGAAAATCGCCTAATTTATCTTTATCAACAAGGAGGGTTATATCCATATCTTATTCGACTTCCTCTTCAAGTTGGCCTTGGGACATACAATTGCTATGAGATATTGGACAATTTGTTGCTCCTAACTTTGGCTTTAAGAGGGCATTAATAGAAATTGGGTGATGAATTGAAAGTTTCTAATGAAATCAACAAATATACATGAAATATTTATTTCAAAGAAATGTTCTAAAAAAATTTAATAACATCGGCTCGTCAATGGATCATATTAATTGAGAGACAATATTGTATTTAAGATATACTTTGAAATAATTTTTTTAATAATTTTCGAAATGTTAATTTATAATTTAATAATATAACATATTTTAAAAATATATATTGATTTACTTAGTATGAAAAATGTCAAAAGATTGTGTAATATTGTGCCAAATTTAATTATTATCTGAATTTTTTTGAGATGGTTATTTAAGCCCTTGTTTGAGTCCTATTCTTCT